AGCAGGCCTCTACTGAATGGCCTGTAACAACTGGGCCATCACCTCGCATTGATTCATCCAGGAACCATGGACCTCACCCAGGAACAGAGACAAGACCAGCATTTGAAAAACAAAAGACCCTGCAGAACCAGCAACTTCCACCATTACAGACACACATCCTGCACATCTCCTTGAGGAAAATAGGACACTATGACCTCCTGCAGGACCCTGTGGAGGGTGGAAAGCTAAGGTTTTTTTCTCCACAGAAAGGGATGTGATCTATTATTGCATAGTCCCCTCTGCAAGGGTTATGTTAAAGGATACCGACTGCACAGGATGAGGAGTGATATAGGGTCACCAAAAACAAAGGATTTGTTTAATAATCATTAAGACTGCAGAAGCTGGCACCTTCCCTGGCACTCGAGGCCTTGAAGGTAGAAGAGCCTGTGAGAAGGGATTGCTTTGTGGTTTTCTCAACAGTCTTAAAACATCTGTCCCACCCTTCAAATGTATGCTGGCTGGGGCAAGACTTCCGTCCTCCAGATCACTCAAGAGGAACGTGGCATTGTCTCGAGTCATCAGCTCCAAAAATCTTCCCTGCTTGCTCTGCAGACTGTAGGAATACATGTTCCTCACCCATGAGAAAGTCTCTGAAAAATCTATCCCCAGTTATACATCTGAAATGGAGGCAGCCAATTGTGCTGCAGAACTGTAGTCTATAAATATAGCCTGAATATTATGATTCTAAAGGTCTGACACTGTTGTATGCAACCAGAACCTTCTTCTAAGGATAAACGCATTCATTAAACTGAAATGGATCTTTAGCAATAGCTTTTTTAAAACACTTATCAAGTCTCAGATGCTTCCTAAGGGATCACTTATTTGTAGTGTATTATAGCCAAACTATGATTTCAAGGATAAACACAAAGCCAAACTAAAAAGAACCTACCACCTTAGTCTGGGATATTAAGACAACACTCAAGATGAAAGAAGGGCTTTTTTTTTTTTTTATAAACCACATAAGTTACACAAATAATTCCAAGCACCAAGCTGTGCAGTATTACTAAAACTGTGACTGGCAGTGGTTTGAATCACTCAAGGCTTTAAGTCAGGGAGAAGGGAAGCACATAGATACTGCATGTATTGCTCAGTGATCATCAACTGCACATAATGGTGCTTAAGTACTCTGAATTACAGATTTAGCTCTCACATTTGCTGACAGCAAATGGAACTGCCTGGAAGGAAAGAGAAAATTAAAGGCTACTGAGCAAGCTCAGACCTAAAGAATATTCTGAATAAGTAATTTCAGTTTAAGAAGGTAAAAGTATCTGCCCCCCTGGCCAGAACTTCTCCTGCTCACTTTTACCCACTAGGATTCAGGTTCTGCATGATGAAAAGGGAACTAAAGGAATGATTTCACTAAAAAGGAGGTTTTTAAGTAAGATTGCATGAATTTTTGTTCAACAGGTGTTAACAAATATTCATTTAAATGATTAATGAACATTTAGAGCAGCGCTATCCAACTTAAGCATCTGGGAGCTGCATTAGCATGGCCCACTGTCTCCTAGTGTGCATGGGATACCACGCAAGCAGGCACTCCCAGGGTCTAAATTATAGGTGAGCCTGGGGGGCTGAGCCCCCCCATAAGAGACAAGAGCCCTCCTATAAGTTTTGAAAATCATAACGGGGGCAGGGGGGGCACACACTCTGATTTTATTAGGGCAATGTGATGGGCAGCCCTTTTTTTTTGTGCAAAACTCCTCCCCTCTTTCCCCCTCCCACTCTCCCCCAACAGTCGCAGTGTAATTCAAATCCTGGGCGCTCCCTGACCGTGTTACACTGGGCACTGCTTCACCCCACTACACCATAGGGCAGGGCACAGCAACCTGCCTCACCTGCAACCCCCCTGAGGCCTCTGTCCCACAAGTGCTCCACCATACCCTTGCTCTGAGGACTGGGCCAGGCAACAGAAGCTGGGGGAGAGACAGGAAGCCCCAGGACCCTGGCTGTTGCTGCAACAAAAGGGGCAATGGTAGCTGGGTAGGAGTCTGGAGGCCGTATCCTGATCCCTCACAGACAGCATGTGGCCTGTGGACCATCAGGTGGACGTTCCTGTTTTAGAGAAATGTTGAAGCTCTAAATATTTCTGTGCCTTTCAATTACTGTGGAAAAGTGAAGAAAACATCCTCAAGGAAGACCAGAATTATTTACCACTATTGTTACTTCTAAGGTAAAAACCAAAAAAACCACACAAAAGCAGAAATGTTTAAGACAAAAAAAATTTAAATATTTTATACATCAGAAAAACAGAAGTGGGCACAATTACAATTTAAAAAAAGCCCTTGCAGAAGCTACTTGTCTAGTCACCACTGAAAGCAATACTCTCTCAAAGGGACAAAAAACTTGCCAGTTTTTCACTGGCCAATAAGAATATAATTTTCCTGATAGTAAAAAGCCACTAGAAAATGGAATCTGTACTGGTTAAAGGCAAGGGATATTTTGTAATCATTCCAGAATAAATAAGTTTGGGGTTTTTTGTACGATTAGCTGTTCATTGGTTTTTTTCTTGCTAAGATGCATGTTGTTGTACCAGAAGGACTACTACTATGTAATTTCCACAGAAATCTAAACAGGCAAGGCAAAAATTAAACCTAGGAATGTTTCACTTAAAATAATTTGCAGCTGTTTCCAGACTATTATTAGGCTTTCAAGGAGCAGTTCATACGATCAGATTAGGTTGGGTTACAAACCCAGAAAATGAAATACTTTTCCGTAATCACTACCTCTGCTTTTTTTAGTTTAAAAAAATGTAATAAAGTTAACATTCATTCTTTTCCTTTAAGATCTTTTTATATATCTATATATAGATATCTATCTATATATCTATATAATCGATATAGATATAGATAAAGGCTTCTGATAAATGGACAATGCAGCCTGCTTCAAAATATGAATTAGCTAGATTTTGAATAAAAATATGTTAAAACGATCACCTGTAAGTAGTCAGATTGGATAGCAGTCAGCAGATGGTCCTTGCTCAGCTCGTAGAAAACATCTGAAGTCATAACCTGGGTAAACTCCTCACAGAGGAAATGCAGTGCTTGACGGTGTACCCACTTGGAACCATATGGCTGTGAACTCCACTTGAGAATGGCAATTAAGGTGTCTAGTGAGATGCTTTCAGCAATAATATCCTCACAGCCTACAAAAATAAAAAGGAAAAAAAACCACTAACAGTAGAAGAGATCATGTCATCATTTAGGAGTACAGCATATATCTAAATATGTTTAACAAAAGAACTGTTCAATAGACCTGTGCAAAGCACTTAATATTAGCTTCGGATTTGGCTGATTCGGGGGGACAGTGATTCACTTCGGCGATTCAAATCACTGTCCTGAATTGATTCGGCCGAATCTCCAACGAGCACTGAGGCTCTTCTTTAAAGGGCTGGGAGATGCAGCAGGTGGGGCAACCATGGGGCGGCTGAGAGAGCGGGGGGGACTGGCAGGGGTCCCCCAATGGTCCTCTCCCCGCCCTCCAGCCCCCCCCTTCCCCAGCTCAGAGTCCAGCTGCAGCTCCCTGCTTCAGCCACTGGGGACTGCCCGAATCAAAGCTCTCCGAATCTCTTCCGAAGATTCAGAGAGCTTTGAATTGATTCAGGCCTTTTAACTGGTCCCCTGATTGAATTCAGATTCAGAGATTTGGCCCCCAAATTGGGCCAAATCTCCTCCGAATCGAATCACCACCCGAAGCTTCGCACAGCCTTACTGTATAGCCCCATTACAACTGTATCCAGAAGGGTGATTAAGATGAAAAAAGGTTTAGAATAAGGTTTCTGTATGCAAATTTAACATATTTATGCTTGCGGAATTAGAATAAGCCCCAATATTCATCTTTTTAAAGCTATACAGAATACTAGATCTGTTTTAGTTACTTCAGGTATTTCACAGACTCCTTGTTTTTTAAAAAATATATTATCTTCTATTTTAGCTGAAAACTAAAATCATTTATCCGAATCCTGGCATTTTTGGATCAGTGATCTTTACACCAATGACCTCACCCTATTAAACTGCAGCCTAGTGTTAAGTACTCTCATTCAGTATTATACATAAAACTAAAACACAATTGGAAGCAGCTTTCTATAAACACCCGTGACACTATGTTTTGTCCTCCAAAAACCCTTTAAAAGAATCTTTTTTGCTGCCTATAATAACAAAAACAACAACAATAAAAAGAACTACTGACAATGCCTGGACTACTCATGTGCTGAGATGGCTGCCTGTTATGCTAATGCTTCCTTAATTTCTTTGTAATTCATTGTCTTTACCCATCAGTTGGTTTACCTCATTCACAGACTGAAAGCTCTGTGGGGTTGGGGCAATCTTTGTTCTATGTCTGCCCAGCACAATCAAGTCCTAGTTCAAGACTGAGGTTCTTAGATGCTACAGTAATAAAAACATATCTTAAAAAGGAAGTAATAAGAGCCAACAGGCATTTGGATAGGCTTCTACAGACTTGCTTTGTCTCAACGTATATCAGAAACTGGAATGTGGAGCTCAGTTTATATAGCTTAGAACCCATTTTTGCTACAATGCAGATATACAATTCTATGTTTTAGTGAACTGCTATTATAAAATTCTTTCCATTTTGTTTTTAATAGAAAACTTTAACAGAACAGAGAACTTGGCACAGGCAGTGAAAGCCAATCACAGCCTCTGGGAGACTGGTCATAGCATGTTTAAGAGAAAAATTAACTTTTCTAAACAAAAAAGCATGACTTCCAAAGAGACATTTTAGTTTGCTGGTTGCACTCATCCTTGCCCTCAATTCCAATGAGTTGTGCAGGTTTTGGTTATCAGTTGTATTTGCAAACAAAATGACTCCAGATGATTAAGCTCTCCTGAAGTCTCATAACTTAAACTGAAAGTTTATTTTAGTTCAAAGGGAATAAGTAGAGCCAAACATTCATTGAAATATACCTCAAAAAGCAGTGGAGGATAAAAGGAAAGAGTCTTTTTACAGTCCTAAAGAGCCTTCCTTCAAAGTGAGTGTCAGCCATATTTTTTTAGACTTAACATTTATTTTTGGAAAAATAATTACAGCTGACCTGTGCAAGGTGGAAATCTACACTTAATTGAGAAGACTATCACATTCTTATGTGGTCCTGAAAAGCTATGTAAGGCTATTAGTGTAAAAACTAAACTCTACACACACAACATATAACCATGAGATAAGTTTTAAATTGTCTTTAAAGTCTGACTGGTGCACAGTAACATTCAGTGCCACTACTGGATGTAAGGCTCATTTGGGCATGGCAGGAACCCTGGATATAAAAGTGTCAATAGACTAAGAGAAGCAGCAGGAAAAATATCTGGAAAAGAGAAACAGCATACTAGCTCTGGTTACTGAAGAAAATTCCCACCAACAGAAGTCCACAGTAAAGTTTGTATGCATAGAAGAGAGAACGTGAGCAGAAAATTTAACCGGGAAGAAGAGACAGAAGATGAGTGGGGTTTGGGAAGATGCTGAAATTCAGCCTGCCTTGGAAATCACAAAACATACTTTTTGCTTGTATGTACAGGCAGTCCTCGGACTTATGACAATTGCTTCCTGAAAATTGTGTCTTAAGTCAAAATGTTATAACTCAGAACTGATTTTCCAATAGGAAACAGTGTTATAAATGGGGGATTCGTTCCTGAATGAGGGCCCGATACCCTATTTTCACCAAAAATAACCCAGAATTTTGTACTCAATCATTATAGATGAATAATATAGCTACATAATGTATTTATATTGTAAATGCAAGGTTCTCCACCTTGGGAGGAAAAATCTGCAGCATCCTTATAGGCTTGGCAGTGCTACGCTGGCTAGCACTACGGAAGAGACTTGGGGGTCATCATTGACCACAAGATGAACATGAGCCTACAATACAATGCTGCAGCTAGTAAAGTGACCAAAATGCTGGCTTGCATCCATAGATGCTTCTCAAGCAAATCCCGGGACATCATTCTCCCCTTGTACTCGGCCTTGGTGAGGCCGCAGCTGGAGTACTGCTTCCAGTTTTGGGCTCCACAATTCAAAAAGGATGTGGAGAAGCTTGAGAGAGTCCAGAGAAGAGCCACACGCATGATCAGAGGTCAGGAAAACAGACCTTACGATGACAGGCTGAGAGCCATGGGGCTCTTTCGCCTGGAAAAGCTCAGGCTCAGGGGTGACCTGATGGCCACCTATAAGTTTATCAGGGGTGACCACCAGTTTCTTGGGGAACGTTTGTTCACCAGAGCGCCCCAAGGGATGACGAGGTTGAACAGTTATAAACTACCGCAAGACCATTTCAGGCTGGACATAAGGAAGAATTTATTTACTCTCCGAGCCCCCAAGGTCTGGAACAGCCTGCTGTCGGAGGTGGTTCAAGCACCTACACTGAACACCTTCAAGAGTAAATTGGATGCTTATCTTGATGGGATCCTATGACCCCAGCTGACTTCCTGCCCTTCAGATGGGGGGCTGGACTCGATGATCTTCTGAGGTCCCTTCCAGCCCTAATGTCTATGAAATAGCAATCATATTGATTTGAAAGGACTTCTTTTAGGTGTCTTTGCTGGAATTTTTGAAGGGCTCTTAGCTGGAGTCTTCTCAGGAGTCTTGGCTCCAGGTGTTTCTGGAGTTGTGTCTGCTTTCTTAAAGAAAGTGTCCAAGGAAGTTTGGACAGATGTTCTCCAGGGACACTGGTGACACAACAAACTTGTTCACTGGCATGGCATCACGTCAGATCAAGCATTGTAAAGTAGAAACTGACATCAGAAAGTCAAAACAGGGTTTCAATTTATAAATGTTGTAAGTGCCATTCGTTGCAACTAGAAACGTTGCAAGTCAAGAACTGCCTGCACACGCCACAGTTTAAGTTGCAATGCTTCCCAGCTAACAAACTAGTTAAAATAACATAGGTGATTTTAAGAAGAAAAGCAAGCCCTAAAAATCCCCTTGATCTGTTCCAAGTCATGTTGCCAAAAGGCACTAATACCCAATCTGCTCCCGGAGTCTGCTCTAGAATTCTCTGTGCTATTTTTGAGAAGGGTTTTATATTTTTACTGTTTCTTCTAAACACACTTAAACCATCAAACATTCAGACATTAATGCATTACCGTTGGAAAGCTGAACGTAAAAGACAATTTTTCTTAACTGTTACCATGCAAAGTATGGTTTTTTTTTTACCCATTTGCAATACACATCTGGCTTTATTTTATGCCCTTCATATCATATTTGATTTCTGCTATAACAGTCTGTAGCTTAGTCCACACACATTCTACTTTGCATTAATTGCATCTTTCCATTGTCTGTGGAAACTCAACACATTTCATTGGACAGAGACATCCATCATTCAGCCATTAGAAATACATTAAATTAGGGAGGAGGTGTAAACTATATTTATGGATGGTGCCACTGAAGTTTCAGGAGTTTTAAAATAAAATGTTTAACTTATGACAAGACAAATGAGGTATAAAGCTATTTAACCTTCAAAACAATTTTCAACAGCTGGGCTTCTGAAGCACTGGATCTACACCAAAAGGTTAGGCAGCTGAAGCTACACATTTAGCATATTAAATGTTTGTAGGCAACAAACAGAAGGTGCCTTTTCTCAGCATTGTGTAGACCTAGGTCTTTTCTCACTTCCTTGTTCTCTTAAAAAACAAAACAACTCCACCCCCCCGCCCCCAGCTCCAAACCTGTACCATGTTTGACCACAACGTGTGAAGACGTGAAAGGTAGAACATCATTTCTTTATACAAATAACTGAATAACTAAGATATGTCATCATTTGTCAAAGGACAAACACTGATCCACATATCCCACCCCTGCATGCTGTGGCTTTAGCATGCATGAAGCCTGCATTTACCTCTCATGTTCTGTTTGTAATTATCAGTTGATAATGGCCCTCAGCTCGGCTTCAACAGTCCTTAAGAAGCACATTCAAGCTGCATGAGCTAAACTGCTGAATAGGAAAACAATCATAGGGCAGAAGTAAAAAGCTGCCAACTCAACCACACTAAACAGAAGGAAAAATTTTAACATGGCAATGAGGGGGGAGCTGTAGGGAGGAGGGCAGTGTTACAGCCAGCCAACACTATTTAGTATTTGTTTAGAGCCATGTCTTCCTGGAATACAAACAGGCACTGAAAGAAAAATTAGGTCAGTGCTTTC